CAGCAATTTTTGTTTAGTGGTGAAGTATCTGATGTTGAAAGATTGTCGTTTGGTGTTCCTCTGGAATTTGTGTTGAGTCCGTTGCTGTTCTGGTTGTATGTGTCTGATTTTGTTGAAGTTGTTAATAGACATGGTTTTAAATGTCAAGCTTAACTTTAATTCTAATTAAGATCTAATTAATTAATTAAATTAATTAATTACAATCAAAGTCGCTGTGACAAAAAAGACACAAAGACGGAACAATACTATATATATATATATATCTTATATATATGTATGTATATGTGTGTGTGTTCGATTAAAAATAATACCCAAATTTGTAGTTATTTGCTTTTTAAAAAAAACTTCAACAAGACGTAATTTATCAGACTCATATTTATTTAAGTCCGTGTTTTGGCTGACGGCCGTTTCAGCTTCTATCATCGTCAGAGCCTGAAATTACATGTATTAATTATTTAATTTAATTATTGTATTGAATTATATGAAATATTAAATCCTTAAAATCAATTAAAAGTTACTGATAAATGTGGCCTAAAATATGTGGTCAAACTTTCCATAGTTACTTATAACAGTAGTTACACATTACCAACCACACTTATGATACTACGATGAATTAATTATTTAATTTAAATATTGTTTGTTTAATTAAGGAGAAAAAAAATTTAAAGTGAACATAAAAGTCAGTTGCTATTGAAATAAAATAATTTTTCATTACATTTGGTATGCTTTTTTGCCACTTCAACCGTTTACATTTTTTTATCAATAATTGACATAAAAATTTAGTGAAAAAATATATCAAACATAACATGAGCGCTGAAATAAGATTTTTCAACTGTTGTACAAACCAACATGAGGCAGCGTCATTAATGGACAGTGCATGAAAACGATTTGGTCGTAACAATAAAAAATATGGCTAATGATGGTGATGGTGTTGCATGCGTCTGGATGGAAGAGTTTTGAGAATAGTGCGTCGTTATAATTGTCTGTTTGAATGCTACATTTGCAGGCCCAACAAATAACTGTCGATTAGTGCTTGTTAACAATTAATTTTTCAATTCTCTCATCATCTCTATCCTCTAAAGTTAATTTGAACCGAAATAAAATATGATTCCAAGGTGAAGCAATATGTTGCAAATATGTTGTTTGTCTTTATCCTACAAAAAAATACAACAAAAGCAAATTATATTAAGAAATATGAACATCAATAAAAAACAACCAGTAAATTCATAGCGTTCATCGTGAACAATCAATTGTTACATTTTTATTGCTGAATTCAAATTATGAAGCAGCAAAAATAGCTTTTATTTGTAATGCAATACAATGTGATTTATAGAGTTAGTTGCCAACAATTTGACTTTTATATTAAAGAAAATTTATTTGGTTTGCTCTTATCCGTTGAAGATGGCATGCAATCTTGACAGTGATTGTTCAACAAATGGAATCTTCAAAAAATTACAATAATTAACTTACACTCACACAGACACACACACACACATGTATATATATATATATATATATTATATATATATATATATATATATATATATATACATATGCTTTCTGACGAGTTTTTTAAACCTCTGTTTACGCGTTGGTAAATTTTCTTCTAGCTGTAAGCACGCGATAATTCAACCGATTTTGAAAAAAGCTAACTCAGATGCAAATAAGGTGAGTAATTACAGACCAATATCAAACCTTTCCTTTGTTTCAAAGGTTTTGGAGCGTGTTGTTCTTGATTTCCTGATGAATTATCTAACGACAAACAATTTAATGCCACTCAACCAATCGGCCTACAGGTGCTACCACTCAACAGAAACTACATTGCTTCATGTCTTGTCAAACATGTTTGTAGGCATGGATGATCGGAAGATATCATTACTCTTCTTTCTCGACATGTCGTCCGCTTTTGACTGTGTTAATCATAACAAGCTTCTGGTAAAATTGCAGAATAATTTTGGAGTTTCAGGAACGGTACTCGCCTGGTTTGAATCATATCTAACGGGTAGAACTCAGCAGGTTTTGTTTAGAAAAGTCTTATCATCTGTCAAGGGGGTAACAGCGGGTGTTCCTCAGGGATCAGTGCTAGGACCAGTTTTGTTTCTACTCTTTACATCGGATATAATTAAAATAATAATGTCGCATGGACTTGTTGGTCATGCGTATGCAGATGACATACAGATAGTTGCTACAGGTCATTCAGAGACATTTCAGCCCGAGATTGATAAACTTGTTGGTTGTTTGATAGAGATTGAACGTTGGATGTTGAGCAATTCCTTGAGGTTGAACCGGGGTAAAACTCAGATGCTTCCTGTCGGTACATGGCAGCAGTTGTCAAGACTTTATATAAACTCGGTTGATGTTGGTGACGTTGAAATATCATTTGCTTCTACAGCCTTGAATTTTGGGGTATGGTTGGATAGCAGGCTCTCAATGAAAGATCAAATAAATCAATTGCAAGTATGATGCATTTCAGAAAATTGTACAAGATTCGACACTATTTGAACAGATCTGGCATGGAAACACTGGTACATGCTTTTATTACATCCAGATTAGATTATTGTAACAGTTTATACTTTAAAATACCTAACAAGTCAATAGCTGTACTTCAGTCTATTCAAAATCGAGCTGCAAAACTTGTCACAAAAAATCTGAAGTTCGATCACGTGACTCCAATCTTGAATGACCTACACTGGCTAAAAATTGAAAAAAGAATAATTTTTAAAATTGCTGTCTTAACGTTTCGGTCATTTCATGGTTTAGCACCACAGTATTTGGCAGACATGTTCATCAGAAAAACAGCTGTGTTGGGTTCGCAGTTTAGATCAAATGACATGAACCTCCTGGTTGTGCCGACAACGAATTTACAGACCGGATCACGCAATATTGCTGTTGCTGGACCGGTGGTTTGGAACAGTCTACCGGCATTTCTAAGAAGACCAGATATATCATTGTTTTTATTTAAAAAGGAGCTTAAGACTCATTTATTTTCGCAGATTTAACAATGTCTTTGTCTTCGTTTGATTAATATTTGGTTTTTTCATTTATTTTAGGGAGCGCTTTTGAGATCTTTTTTTTGTAATTAGCGCTGTACAAATTGACTTATAATAATAATAATAATATATAAAAATTTTACAATATTCTATAAATTCTACCGAATGTTTGGCGTTAATATGTTTGTAGTTCGTTTTTTCGATTTTTCTCACTAAAGTTTTTTGGTGAACGTTTAGTTTATTAAAATTCAAAATAAACTTATTTTCGGAATTCATGCTGCAAATAAGGCGTTATTTCGATTCAGAAGGAATCATCATCATTCTA